AAAGATACAGGATAAATAACCATGATAAAATGTGTGTGATCGGCGAAATATGCAACTTACTCTGCTTCCAATTAGCCGGCATGAACGTTTTTCTAATTATGCCAACATTAATCAATCGACAATGTTTAATTCGAAACTTTAGATGCTCTTCACGATTACACAATTCCAATAAATACCGCCGAAATTTCGAAGGAAATGCGCACAACTTTTATAATACCAGTGCATCAGATGAAAGTCGACATGGTCTAGGAGGATACAAGCAAATTCTAGAAAAAAACATGGACCCTTCACCTCCAGAAGGATTCTTGAGTACCGGTCCATTTCAGAAATTTAAGGGATTGTTTAAATTGGCACCATACTTCTTGCTAAATGGGGAACAAATTCAACCTCTCCAAGAGCCAGGTGAATTTTATAATCAGCTCAAGGTTTGTTTTCGTGACTAACGATGGTTTTCTATCTAATCAATGCTAATAAATAATTATTGGGTCATAGGAGCACATCCTTTCTGCAAAGGAACGAATATTTTTGGCGTCATTATATATAGGATCCAATGAGAAGGAATTGGTAAATAATACGTTAACGTACTTCATGAAATCTATAATTTTTCTACTATTTTATTTACCCTTTAAAATTAATTATGCTAATGGCAGGTCGAAACTATAAGATCTGCGGTTAAGAAATCAAAGCAGTTAAAAGTACACATATTACTTGACTGCTTGAGGTCTACACGAGCTGACCATGTTGATTTGGATCAAAGTAGCCCTGCCAGTCTTCTCGTGACGCTAGTCAAGGAGTTTCCTGATCAGGTGACGGTTTCATTGTATCATACTCCCGATCTTAAGGGAGTTCTTAAAAAACTTATTCCTCCGAGATTCAACGAATCGATTGGGTTAATGCACATCAAAGCGTTTGGCTTTGACGACAACCTGATGTTGAGTGGGTGAGTGGCGTTTTAATTTTACGACTAGATGTTCATTGATCACTATACAATTAATCCATCCATCTCCATTGATTTACGGATCTATCCAGAGCAAATTTGAGTCATGATTATTTCACCAACAGGCAAGATCGTTATATGTTATTCAAAAATGCACCCGGTATCACAAATTATTTTGCCGACCTTTTGCGAACGGTTTCAACCTTTTCATACACGCTAAAGCCAGCGGAAGAGTTCGCAAAACATGACAAACCATACGAGTTAGTCTTGTCGCAATTTCCAGACCCGATAACCGAAAGCCATCTATTCCGAAAATTCGCGTCATCAACGGTGAAAGAATTTGTCAGTAAGTGGACGAATGACTGTGAGTTGCAAGCACGTCATCAAATTATCCAACAGCAAAAGAACTCGGGGGTACAGACAAACGAGCAGAACGTCAATTTGGACACAGTTATTCTTCCGATTATTCAGATGGGGCCGTTTTCAATTAGGCAAGATGAATCGACAACATTAAGCATCCTTGAAACGATCGCAAAAGAAAATGATAATGAAGAAGGACAATACGGTCGAGTATTTTTTGCGTCGGGGTATTTTAATTTCACACAAAAATTCAAGGACAAAATATTAAACACCAAGGCAAAATTCAATGTGTTGGCTGCCTCACCAGAGGTTGGTTAGGTGCCCGTGTTCTCAATGTCAGACATTGTTTTTTCCATCGTGAATTAATGAAAACGTTATCTGCACGCTTATAAAGGCAAATGGATTTTATTATTCGAAGGGAATATCAAAGTATATTCCAGACGTCTACACATTATTAGAGAAGCAATTCTATAATGATATATTGAAACATGGAAAAAGTCATCTGGTGAAACTTGAAGAGTATAAAAGATCTAATTGGACATTTCATGCTAAAGGTATTATTAATCCTGACGATAAGGATGAAAAATAACAGTATTAATTATCAAACGTGAGATCCTGATCTTCTAAAGCATTGTCGAATTTAGTATGACGTTGACATGTCTCTCCCCTTTCTACCCACTAGGCTTGTGGTATTATATGAATGC